ATTGGAAACTATGCCTTTACTTCCCTCCCAGTGCCTGATTCATGGGGGTGCTCAACAAATACCAAATTAAATCACTTTGAAGCCAGGCATAGTGGTGTACACCTAAAATCCCAGATATTTGGGAGACCTAGGCAGAAGGATGGCAAGTTCCAGGCTAGTCTCAGCAATTTAGTGAGATCATGTCTCAAAATAAAAAATTAAAAAGGCTGGGGTGTAGCTCGGTGGAAAAGAGCCATTGGGTTTAACTCCTAGGACTGTGAAATAAGTAAGTAAGTAAATCACCTAAAGTACCTTATACAGTATTGCTATGGTTAAAATGTATGTGTCCTCCCAAAATTCCTATGTTGGAACTTAAACCCCAGAATAATAGTATTGAGAGGTAGTGCTTTTGGGAGGTTAGACTCACAGGGTTTCTCCCACATCATGGGATCAATGCCCTTATGAAAGAGACTTCAGAGAGCTGCCTGGTCCTTCTGCCATATGAGAACACATTCATCTTCTTTTGCATCTTTTCTGCCATATGATGCTACTGCAAGAAGAGACTATCTTGGAAGCAGAGAACAGCCCTTATCAGAAACCAGATCAGCTTGTACCTTGATCTTATACTTTCTAACCTCCACAATGCTGAGAAAAAATATCTTTGTTTCTTTTTCTTTTTTAATGGTACTAGGGATTGAATTGAGGTTCTCATGTTTACTTGACAAGGACTCTACCACTTAGCTACATCCACAGCTTATTTTTATATTATTTTGAGACAGTCTTGCTAAATTGTACAGGCTGGCCTTGAACGTATGATCCTCTTGCTTTCTTTCTTGTGATCCTTCTTCTTGTATCCTTTTTTTTTTTTTTTTTTTTTTTTTTAACAGAGTCTCCCTATGTTGTCCAGGCTGCCCTCTAACTTCTAAGCATAATCAATCCTCCTGCCTCGGCCTTCCTAGTAGCAGAGAATATGGGCATGTGCCATATAAAGTTGAGAAATAAATTTTTATTTCTAATAAGTTGCTCAGTGTTGGAGATTTTGTTATAATAGCACAGATTAAGACAAGTAAACAATTTTAAAAATATACGTGTGTGTGTGTGTGTGTGTGTGTGTGTGTGTGTGTGTGTGTTGTACTGAGGACTGAATCCAGAGGTGCTCTACCCTTGAACTATATCTCCAGCCCTTTTTAGTTTCTATTTTGAGACAGCATCTTACTAAATTGTTGAGGCTAGCAACAAACTTGTGATCCTCCTGCCTCAGTCTCCAGAGTCACTGGGATTATAGGAATGAGCCAACACATCCAGTTTAAAAATATATTCTTGGGGGCTGGGGTTGTAGCTCAGAGGTAATGTGTTTACATGACATGTGCAAGGCCCTGGGTTTGAGTTTGACTCCCAGAACTGTACACACACACACACACACACACACACATTTTCCCCCATATGGAAAATACACCTGAAGCCAAACATGATGGCACACATCTGTGATCTCAGTGACTCAGGAGACTAAGATAGGAGATCAAAAGTTCAAAGCTAGCCTCAGCAACTTAGCAAGGGCCTAAGGAATTTAGCAAGACCCTGTCTCAAAATAAAAAACAAAAAAGTCTGGGGATGTAACTCAGCAGTTAAACTCCCTGGGTTCAATCTCTATTATAGCCCTGCCCCTAAAAAGAAGAAAATAATATAGAGCCCACACATTTTATTGATTTGTAAGATTTGGGGATCAAAAGTCTAAAATCAACATCTTTACTTATAAATGAAGACATTTATCATTTAATCTGTATCTGACATACCTCTGACCTCAACATATCCTAAAAAAGACATTATGTATGTAGTGCAATTCTAAAATTCACCAACTCTAACATTCATTGTTCTAGAACCTGATATATGAAAACAAAGAAGGCACAGTGATCACTGCCCTTAAGGAGCACATTGTTAACTTTATCATTTCACCTAAAATGAACAGACTCCATGTGAATGTTACCAAACTAAGTATGAGTAAGTCCAACTTATCAGAGTTGAAACACAATATAATGTTTCACAAAGGCTGATACATTACAAGCATCACAATGGTCATTCTAAGAGAGGTTGTTAATGTTAAGAAAGCATTATAAATTATCATTATTATACACTCTTTCAAATCCTGAACCCCACCAGTTCTTAGAGCAGCAGTTCTCAATTGAGATTCAGTTTTGTACATGCACACCCCAGGGCACATGTGGCAATGTATGGTGACAGTTTTGGTTGTGAAAACTGTTGGAGAGAATACTATTTAAATCTGTTCTGTAAAAGTCAGGGATGCAGCTAACCATCCTACAATTCAGGGACTATCCCCTACAACAAAAATTTATCTGATCTAAAATATCAATAAAATAGAAATTGAAAAACTCTGGCCTAGAGGAAAAAAATCCAAACTCCTCCATCTAGACTTCAAGGCCTAGAACATTTTGATCCTGTTCATCATTTCATTTTGTCTCCCTCCACCTTATTCTTTGGATGCTTCATCTTCATAAGAATCTTATATGTCAACCCTATCAGATTGTCACAAAATTTTAAAAACAGCGATTAAGCACTTGGGCTCTGAAGTCAGGGAGATCTGGCTGAGTATCCAGGCTTTGCTACTTGTCACCTATGCATCCTTGGGCAACTTACCCAATATCTCTAAGACTCATTACCTTTTTGTCTAAAATAGGGCTAAGAATAGTAATTGCTATTACAAGGACTATATGAGATGACACAAGTAAGTCATACACACTGTCTGGCACATCTCACTGCCCCTGTGCTTCTGCTGTTCTTGCCTTTACTGAGGCACCAAACACAGGCACCTTTAGTCCTGAGTTAGGTGCCTAAATGAAATTGCCATCACTCCAGCTGGCTTGAGAATTCTCGGAGGGCAAGGATTAGGTCCTCTCTGTCTATACACCTATCTGGCCCCAGCACCTGGCATAGTACTCTGCATATAGTGAGTGATTAGCATACATTAATAAAATTACAATTTTGGCACTCCCTAAAGGAGAAGACTTCCTTGTCAATGAGTAAAAACCCTTAGGATTCTAAAGGTGGCTCTTTCTTCTGGAGTCAGTTGTGGTTTCCTTTGCTTCTTCCACTTTCTCTGCCCACTTCTCAAGGTTGGAGTTCTTAAGGATTAGGTACTTAGCATGGTTCTTCAATCTTTCCTCTCTCTTAAAAAGATCTAGCTAGATGGCCTAAAATACCACTTATATTTCCCCAAATTTATATTTGTAGCCAGGATCTTTTCTCAGCTTGATTTATACATTTTGACTTTCAACTTGACACTCTCAACTAAGTGAACAACAGCCAAAGTGATCTTTTAAAAATGTAAACCTGGTGATGTCACTCCTTTCAAGGGCTTCCTACTACACCAGTTACAAATCTTTCCCAAGGTCTACAGGCTTCTTTGAAGCCTTGACTCAACTCCTTCTGCAACCTCGCCTCCTCTTTGCTTACTGTGCCTAAACCATATTTGCCATCTTTCTGCTGCTCAAATGAGAAAACTCATTTCCCTTCTCAGAGCATTTGGACTTGATGTTGCCTTTTCCTGGAACATTTGCCCCCAGTTCAACATATGGCTTCTCATTCAGATTTAAATCCAAGTGTCACCTCAAGGAGGATTGCCCTGACTCCTTCCCTATCCCAGTCTATGAGTCTACCCCTTCTCTCTCTAACCCTCTCTCACTACTTTGACTTTTTAGAGAAGGAATTATCTCATTTATTTGCTTTCTTTATATTTTTCTGTCTCCTCCACTAGAAAATGAGTTTCATGAGAGAAGACTTGTCAGTCTTGTTCTCCTCTGTGTCTTCAGTGCCTGACACATAATAGGACCTCAACAAATAAACATTGAATAGATGGATGAAATGAAATAAACGTGTATTGGAGGTACTGGAATAAGAAGTTCTGATTTCTGGGGCTAGGGTTGTAGTTCAGTGGTAGAGTGCTCGCTTAGCATATGTGCTTGCTTAGCATATTCACATAAAATAAATAAATTAATTAAATAAAGGTATCATGTCCATCTACAAGTAAAAAAAATTCTTTTAATTAAAAAAAAGTTCTGATTTCCATTCCCTACTCTTTTTCTATATGACCATGGTATATGTCACTTGTATCTCAGAGTTCCAGTTTGTTCACCTGTAAGGTGAGCCTTAAAACACCCTCCTGGGGCTAGGGTTGTGGCTCAGTGGTAGAGCACTTGCTTAGTATGTGTGAGGCACTGGGTTCAATTCTCAGCACTGCAAATAAATAAATGAATAAAATAAAGGTCCCCCATACCGAAAACAAAACAAACAACAACAACAATAACAAAAAAACCCCACTCTCCTCAAACACTTGGTTGTGAACATTAAATTGTATAATGCACTTGAGTGCCAGCTGCAGTGCTTAGCACAGTACAATGATTAGCAAACGCTGGTACACTCCCCCTTCTTTGAGCTCCATTTTCCTCACAATTGGGGAAATAACCGTGATTGAAATGTACAGGCTGATGTAGAAGTAATATTAGTTCGCCAGTCTTTCCTTCCTCTGTGTCTTCAGGTAGTATTGCCTTTGCTCCTCTTCCTCCTTCCCATTTCTCCCTGCAACCTTGGCATGCCTCCTTCAGGAAGCTTCCTTGAGATCTCATGCTGGATTAAGACTTCTTCTGATCCCTAGATATTTCTGTTAAACAGAGGTCACTCTGCTATCACAGTTTCTTCATAGCCCTAGGGAATGGATGGACCCACGGATGGAAGGAAAGATAGAAGGATACAGGGACCTAAGGATAGTGAAAAGAATCATGAGAGAGCGCTTTGAAACCAGCTACACCAAAGTTGAGTAGGCTCAGGGGAACCCTGAGGCCAGCCTCAACTGGCCCTGCCACTCCCCCACTCTCTAGGGACCCTTTACTGTAGCTCTCATAACACTTGCCACCCCACCCCACTCCCCCGCCCCTTAGCTCCTCCAGCACTCTCAGAGCGTGGTCCCCAACCATTGGCTGTAGCCCTCATTCCCCCCACCAAGGCCGCGAATGGGAGGCGGCCAAGTACAGAGACCTCAGGCCCCTGGTGGTGGTGGGGGGGGGGTCCAGGTAGAAGCAGCCGGCAGCAGCGCACAACAGCTGGCCAGGTACCTGCACTCGGAAGCTGGGCGCAGGGATACGGGGCCTCTGCAAAATGAAGGGGCTGCAGCTGCTGCCACTGCTCTTGGCGACCTACATACTGGGGGAACAGGTGCAGCGCCAAGTCTACCTGCGCGAGGAGTTCGAAGATGGGGGTAAGCGTTCTGGCAGTGGGAGTGACCCTGGACCAGACCCTTCTTGATCCTCCCCAATCACCTGCCCCAGTGATCCCTCTGACTTTCCTTGTTTGGGCTCTTTTAGAACCAGAAGGACCACAGTTTAAGTCCCTGCTTGCTATTTCTTAGCTGTGTGACCCTGGGCCAGTAGCTAACTATGTCTACGTTTCAATGTCCTTTTCTAATAAACGAATATTGAGAATTAAATTAGATAAGAAGGGCAAAAAATTGTTCTTAGTACATAGTAGATGTGCAGTACATGTTTTTTCCCTCCCTTTCATCTCCAAAGTACAAACAAGTGAACCCTGGAGGGGAAAATGACAACATTATTTGTGATAGTGAAAATTTTTGTGGTTCATAAAATAGAGCTTAGAGAACCTTGGAGGTCATCTCATTCAGCATTTCCCCTGAAATGTCTCAGGCCCATCAGGTAATTATGTCAGATCTTGCTTATTTAAAGACACATTTTCAACAGTACTGTTTCAGGGCCCGTCCCCCCCCCCCCACACACACACACAAATACTCTTCCTCTGTGTGTGTAAAATCTGATTCTTTGAGAGAAGAGTGAATAAGAAAATTACCTAGGAATTGGGAACTTTTAGATTTGAGTCCACGTTCCAACTTCAAAGCCTGGATAAGCCCTTTTCCCTTTCTGAGACTCAATTTCCCCATCTGTGATACAAGTAACACCATGTTGAGGGTAGTCAGGTGCAGAGGTGGTGCAGAGGAAGGAGGGAATAACCCAGACAAGAGGGAGGGACAGGAAGACTCAAGGAAGAATACAAAACTCAAGCACTGTTCTTAGGGATGAACAAGAGTCCACAGCTAAGCAGAGGTGGGAAGAAGGGCATTCCAATTCAGAACAACAGCAAATGCAAAGGCTCTAAATGATGATGCAGCCTGTAGTGGTATCTCCAGGGAACTGAAAGTGTGAAGGGAGACTAGAGAAGGTGAGCCTGTAGAGAAGGCAGAGGCTGAATCAAGGGTACCAAGGAGCCTAGCCTTTGCTGAAAGCAGTGGGGAACTATTGAAGGTGGTAAGCAAGGAGACACAGACATGACCTGTGTCATACAGCACGTCAGCAAAGATATGGAGATGGATTGTGAAGCTAGCCAGAGAGATCAGAGATGGGAAGACCCTCTAGGACATTATTGTAATTTCTTGGTGAAAAGTAGTGAGGCTGTACATGAACACAGTGGTACTGGGGATTGAACCTACTGAGCTACATCCCCAATCCTTTTTATTTTTTATTTTGAGACAGGTTATTGCTATGTTGTTAAGGGTCTTGCTGAGTTACTGAGAGTAGCCTTGAACTTGTGATCCTTCTGCTTCAGTCTCCCAAATTGCTGGGATTATAGATGTATGTCACAGAGCCAACACACAGGGGAATGTTTAGGTGCTGACTGAGGAGTGGGATGCAAGAAATCCCTTAGTTTCACTAATTGGCTGTGGAGGAAACTTTGCATAAGGCACAGCCTCTTCCAAAGACAGGGTGCTAGCCTCCCATTTCCTGATTGATCTCAGCCCAACCTTTGCAAGCTTCTGACTGCCAGCTCTTAGGCCCTCCTCCCTGCCTGGCCTGGCTTTAACTGACACCGTAATTCCTTTCTGAAGCAAAGAAATCATGCATAGACCTGCATCCATTTCCCCAAGGACTAACTCCACTTGTTCAAAGTGGCAGGAGTGAAATGCCCAAGGGTTTTATCAACGTTTCTGAACTGTCCCTTGAAACCAGGGAAAGAGTAGTTTCAAGACCTAAGCCCCAAGACAGTTGATGAGGTCAAAATCATGAATAAAATCCAGCACATTACATGCTGTAAAGATAACTCTTCATGACCTTTCTTTACCAGGAAGGCTTGCCTATGCCACTTCGCCACCTCTGTGCTTCTGTGTCGTCCCTGTGCACACTGGCTATTTTCTCTGATTTTCCTCTGTGTTTTCAATATCAAAGTCAGTGGCTGCCCTAGAGAGGTACCAGGTTAAGGACTGTTGTTGAATGATTGAATGATTGGACTGAATTCTGACACACACACCAAAAAATAACACTCCAGAAAGAGAATGTTCAAATAATCTTCCCATAGCAGCAGGACTGAGACATCTGAAATGTATAAATGTATAATTTGAGACAGGGTCTTGCTAAATTGCTGAGGCTGGCCTCAAATTTGTGATCCTCCTGCCTCTGCCTTCTGAGGTGCTGAGATTACAGGTGTACACCACTGTGCCAGGCAGGTTTGTGAGGCTTATCCTCAGTTTAGAAAATCCAGAAATCCAATACTGTTAGGGTACTAGAAAGTACTGGAAAGATTTAAGCACTGACTTGTTTTATTCAAACTCATAAATATTGACATAAAACAAGATGTCCATAAATTCATGTGTATCTTAGACTTCATTAAAAGCACAACTTAGGCGTTCTCCTTCAGACTTGATCTTTCTCCCTTGGTCTACTCCATCTTGGTAAGTAGACCAACATATCACTTGATTGTTTAGATCGAAAATTTAAGATTCATCTTTGATTCCTTTATTTTTTCCATCAGGAAGTCTAATTGATTCTACCTTCAAAATATATTCAAAGCCTGCTATGTTTTACCTGCCCTATCACTACCCACCTCTCATGTAGACTATTTCACTAACTTGAATGGTCTTTCTGCTTTCCCTACTCTCTTTTGATATAAAATTCAGAAGCAACCTTTAGAAATGTAAATCAGATAATATCATTTTGAAACTTAAAAACCTCCGCACCTTCCTATTAGATTTAAAATGAAATCCATCTTTCTTACTGTGACCTACAAGAATCTCTGTGACCTGTCCCCTGCCTGCCCCTCCACTTTTGTCTTCTGCTTACTCATTACATTCTAGTCACAGTGGCTTCTTTGCTCTTTCTCAGATACTGCCAGCTCATTTCCATCTCAGGGTCTTAGCACTTGCTGTGACTTCTGCCTAATTACATTTCCTCCTTCTCATTGTCCAGATTTCTGTCTAAATGTTTCCTGACAGGGACTTTTCTTGTTTATCCATCAAAAAAAATATTTTATCCTTTTATGTGACTTAAATTGTAATCAACTTTCTTGAGATAAAACATTCATTTACTTATTTAAACTGTATCATTCAAAACTTAAAAAAAATCAACAACAAAACTGTATCATTCAGCTGAGGATGGTGGTGCATGCCTATAATCCCAGTGACTTTTTGGAGGCTAAGTCATGAAGATTGCATGTTCAAGGCCAGCCTCAACAACTTAGGGAGACCTTCAACAACTTTTTGAGACCCTGTCTCAAAATAAAAAAGAAAAAGGGCTGAGATGTACCTCAGTAGTTAAGTGCTCCTGGGTTCAATCTGAAGTACCAAAATAAATAAATATATAAATCAAGTGTATCATTCATTAAATTTTGAAAAATGTCTACACCTGTGTAACCACCACCATAATCAATATACAGAACATTTCCATACCCCAAATACTTCCCTTGTGAACTTTTGCATATTCAATATTTTAGACTACTTCCCACTATGTTTCTTTTTTAAAATATTTTCACCCCCTGCCCTTTTCTGTCCTCTTTCTTGCTCTCCTCATCACTAGATTAATTTCCTGAGAACTCAGTGCTTCCCTGTTGTGTTCACTGTAATATCTGTAGCATCTAGAATAGTGCCTGGGACAGGCATGTAGTTGGTGCTCAATATTTTTTTGTTGAATGAATAGATTAATTAATAAATTAATGAACTTCCCTGGGAAGTGATGTTTCAGATATCAGAATGCTCTTATTAGCCAACACAAATCATTCTTGGTTCAGGGAACCCAGGAAACTAAACTCAATGAGATGGAACTTAATCTTATTGAATGCCTATTGTGTACCAGTAGTTTTTTTTTTATTTTCTTTATACATTATTTTAATGAAGAAGGTGTGAGCGGTCCTGAGAATTCAACCTTCCATGTACAGATGGGGAAATTGAGCCCTGGAGAGGAAAAGTGTTTTTCCCAAGGCATAATAAATCGGTGGCAGAAATGCTTGCTGAACCCAAGTCTCCTACCTTCATATATAATTTGTTGGCCACTGAATCAAGTTGCCATGTCTGATGGTCATCAGGTCATAATACTAGTGGCTTCAGGGACAACAGGAGCTTTAGGAATCCCAGAACTTGCATAGGGACTGGCACATTAAAATATGCAAGAATGTTAGTAGATTGAATTGGAGAATCATCGAGTTGATGATACAAATAGATATGAGTGGAAGACTAATGGTGACAGCAGTGACCATTGTCAAAACACAAAATCAGGCAGAAAGAAGCTGGAATTCAAATGAGGAGCTGAATGATGCAGGAGTCACAAGGTGTGTGTGTGTGAATGTTAATTCTGTTAGCTCCCAGACTTGACCATGAAAACTTGGCTGAAGAGACATTCTGAGACAAAGGGCCTCTGTGCCCAGCTGGCACAGACACACTGAGGACAGCCCAGCAGGGCTGAGGAACACCCTGCTGTTCAGGCCTCCGACTGATAAGCAATTGAGACCATCTGTGATTCGGGGATACTTGGACATGCTGAGCCTGGGGAAGAATCGCCCTGGAAATATGCCCAAACCAAAGAGGCCCCATCCAGCTGGCCTTTCCAGGTCTCAAGTACAAACTGATGGCAAGGATCTCTCTGGAGCTCACAGGGATGAGAAGGCAAAATGAGGGCCTTGGACCAGACAGATGAGGCTTCAAGTCCTGATTCTGCCATTTGCTAAGTGGGTGACCTTGGGTAATTTATTAACCTATCTGAGTGTCCATGAAATGGAGGTGATTATCTTACCTCCTTTGAAAGGCACTGTGAGAACTGAATGAAATGAGGTATGGAAACCATATTGCACAGTACCTGGTACGTAGGAAGTGCCAGCTCCCTTTCCTTCTTCCTTCTCTCTGGTGTTCTGCTTGTGTAGCTCACCTGGAATATGGCTCACTCTTCAATCACTGATCAAATATCATCTCAGCACAGGGCCTGGCTGCCCCTATCTAAAATGACACATTATCACTCCTTATTTTTTTAAAAAATATTTTATTTGTAAATGGACACAATACCTTTATTTATTTATTTATTGGGGGGAGGTTATACCAGGGATCGAACTCAGAGGCACTAAACCACCGAGCCACATCCCCAGCCCTATTTTGTATTTTATTTATTTAAGAGACTGGATCTCATTGAATTGCTTAGCACCTTGCTTTTGCTGAGGCTGGCTTTGAACTCACGATCCTCCTGTCTCAGCCTCCCAAACCACTGGGATTACAGGTGTGCACCACCGCATTTAGCCTATTTATTTATTTTTATGTGGTTCGAGGGCTGAACCCAGTACCTCACACATGCTAGACAAGTGCTGTACACTGAGCTACATACAACCTCATCCCCCTTATCACTCTTGTTGTTACCTGATATTATATTACCTATTTATATGCTATTTTGTTTAAAGTTTATCAATTAATTAGAACAATAAACTCCAATTAAAATATAAATTCTATGAAGGAGGAACTTTATTCTGTTCCCTGTCTAGTGCTCAATAAGCCCTCAATTAACACTAATGAATAAATGGAAGGAGGGAAGGAGGAAATATTCAAAGGATGGTTAGAGTTTTTCTCTCTTCTTGTTTTATAATGCCATGGGAAAGGCAGAGTAGAGGATATTAGAATAGTATGAAGTGAGACTTTGGAATTGTAACTTCGGGTCTTTGGGTAATTTGCCTTAAAATTTCATTAAGTGAGCTGGATGTAGTGGAGCATGCTTGTAATCCCAGCAATTCTGAAGGCTGAGGCAGGATTGCAAGTTCAAGGCCAGTCTCAATAATTTAATGAGGTCCTAAGTAATTTAGCAAGACCCTGCCTCAAAATAAAAAGGACTGGAGATACAGCTCAGTGGTAAACTACCCATGGGTTCAATCTCCAGTGGAAAAAAAATCATTAAATGAGAATGGGGATATAACTTAGTGGAGAGTATTTGCCTATCGTATGTGAGGCCCCAGGTTTGATCCCAAGCAACATACACACATCATCATCATCATCATCATCATCATCATCATCAAGCAATACTCTTATGATTTGTCCTCTTACCTGAATAAATGTTATACTCTAATTAAAACACTTTTAAAAAATTAATGACACCCAGAGCCCATTTAATGGTTTATAATACCATTATCTAATAAAAGAAACTAGGCTTTCTTAAAGAAATGTCTGATTCTAGGACTGGGAAGGGAATATACATGATGACATCTGAGTATTTTATAGTTTCAGAAAGTAAGGAGGTATTCAAAAAACAAAACCATAGGAGAATGTCAAAGGGACACAAGAACCAACTGGAAGAATTTGGAACGGCAGCAGGGTATGGTGGCATAGGCCTGTAATCCCAGCTTCTGGGGAGGCTAAGGTAGGAGGATAGCAATTTCAAGGCCCACCTGGGCAACTCAGCAAGACACTGTCTCAAAATAAAATTTAAGAAAGAGGAGGGCTGGGGTTGTGGATCAGAGGTAGAGCGCTTGCCTAGCATGCATGAGGCACTGGGTTCCATCCTCAGCACCACATAAAAATAAAATATTTAAAAAGAACTTTAAGAAAGGGGAAATGCTAGGGAATGATATTGGCAAAGTTAGAGTGGGTGCATGTATGAATATATAACAACAAATCCTACCACTATGTATTATTATAATGCACACTACAAATATGGGAAAAGATTTAAAAATGAGAGTTAAGGATGAAGTTCACAGCACTACATCATACTATAATTCAATTCCCAGTTCTGAAAAAAAAAATTCCCAATGGCTAAAGACATTGAGCAACAAAATAATGTGGTATTGAGTTAGATTATAACTCTAAGTATAAAATAAATATCCATTAGTTCGTACTAATATAATGAAATGATAGAATAAATAAATAAATAAATGAGGACAAAAAATTGTAGATGGACACAATACCTTTGTTTTATTTATTTAATTTTTATGTGGTGCTGGGGATCGAACCCAGTGCTTCACATGTGCTATGCAAGTATGTGAGCTCTACCACTGAGCTACAACCCCAGCCCAATACAAGATATATTTCAAATAATTTATGTAGATAATCTGCCCTCAAGAAAGTGCACTATACAATGGGTGTGGTGGTGTACTCCTATAATCCCAGCGACTCAGGAGGCTGAGGCAGGAGTCTAGCAAGTTCAAAGCTAGTCTTTGCAACAGCAAGGCACTAAGCAACTCAGTGAGACCCTGTCTCTAAATAAAATACAAAATAGGGTTGGAGATGTGGCTCATGGTCAAATGCCCCCAAGTTCAATTCCTGGTACCAACAAAACAAAACAAAACAACTAAAAAGGACTAGGAATGCAGCTCAGTGGTAGAAAATCCCTGGGTTCAATATCCAGTACTGAAAAGAAAAAGAAAAAAGAAATATAAAATAAGAAAAGCAGATGTCTTCTATTAGACTATAACCTCTTTGAGGGTTTGAGAGTTCAAAGAATTATGTCTTGTTCAAATTAGTACCCTGGCATCTAGCACTCAGGCAGCACAGAAAAGGTGCTCTGCAAATATTTAAGTGAAAAACTAGTATTTTTTTCCTTCTGCAAGCATATAGGCTCTTATTTAATGTCCACTTTTCTAGCAAACTTGGCTAAGATACAGTGGATTAGAAATGACAACCTCCAAGAGAAGTGGAAGTTCTACTAGAAGCTCTCGTTCAATGACAGCAACAATAATTATTTTTATTATCTTAACTAATTGGGTCCTCATGCCAATCCATTACTTGATAAACATTTGTCGAGCACTTACTATGTAAACAGGATTCCTTTCTTTATTTTTATTTATCTGTGGTACTGGGTTGAAACCCAGGGACACTCTACCACTGAGCCCTTTTTTTTTTCCTAAGACAAGTTCTCACTAAATTGCTGAGGCTTTCCTCAAACATGCAATCCTTCTACTTCAGTCTCTCAGATTGCTGGGATTACAGGTGTACACCACAATACCCTGCCTGTCTGCCTTTCTTTTTGGTACCAGGGATTGAATTCAGGGGCATTCAACCACTGAGCCACATCCCCAGCCCTATTTTTTGTATTTTATTTAGAGAGAGGGTCTCACTGAGTTGCTTAGCGCCTTGCAGTTGCTGAGGCTGGCTTTGAACTTGTGATCCTTCTGTCTCAGTCTCCCTAACCATTGGGATTACAGGCGTGTAGGGTACTGCACCTGGCCAGCGTTCCTTTCTTTAAAGAGTTTAAATATAATACCTTTTTAATAGATGAAGACACAGATGCAGAAAAGGAATTGCCCAAGTCATATACAACAGCTAAGTCAGTTGCTAGAGGCAAACACCTTAATCTCAGGGAAAGTGAGTGTTCCAAGCAGAAAAGGGACAGTGGAGACTGAAAAACTTGAAAACCAGACCTACATCTCTGCTGTACATTATAGGTTGATAGACAGTTTGAGTCTTTAAAAAGTTTACGTTTTTTATTAGAATTCTGTACACAAGAGACTAGTATCTTTTATCATGTCTAGTGTTTTCCACTGAAAATGGTAGGTAAAATATTGGCACCTGAAGAGGTAAATGTTAAATTGTCTAACAAATTCTCTTCTGTTGAATAAGATCTTACAATTTTGAATAAATACAGCAAATCTGTATTTTTAATCTACTTATTCAAGCTTCTTCTAAAGGATCTATTCTGGCTCAGGACTAGATGCTGGGGAAGATACAACTTTTATCTTCAAATCTAAAAATATTTATCTTTACCTTTGATGTTATGAAACTTTGTATACATAAATACACACATATGCAGATATAACACCACTGGTGTTGATTGAGCACTTGCCTGCCTACAACTGTGCTGCGTGCTATTTCATTTAATTATCCCCAAAACTCTATGAGTTAGGTAACTTTTGTACAGGTGAGGAAACTGAATTACAAAGAAGTTAAAAATACTGCTGAAGCCAGATGTGTAAGCATACCTGTAATTCCAGCGATTTGGAAGGCTGGGGCAGGAGGATTACAAGTTCTAGGCCAGCCTCAGCAACTTAATGAGGCCCTAAGCAACTTTGTGAGAACATGTCTCAAAATAAAAAAATAAAAAGGACTGGAGATGTGACTCAGTGGTTAAGTACCCCCAGATTAAATAGCTAGTATCAATAAATTAATTAATTAATTTAATTAAATATTGCTAAAGCTGGTGGCAGAGCTGAGTCCCTAGTCAGTCTGTTGATTTGAGCTATATCACAAGCAGATGGTTGAGAGGTACAATTATGGGGAACTATGTTTAGAGAGGAACTATGTTCATATGGCCTCCTTCCTTCTCTCTACAGATTTGAGTGTGATTATTTGAGTGTGATTATGTGCATTTATCAGCCAGATGTGCCAGCTCCCAAACACATTAGTTTTTGCTGGAGAGGTCTCTGTAGACCTATCAATATCTGACCAATTTAAAGGGAAGATTTATCAGGTGGGAAGAAATGGCAGCATTCAACTTTAGTTAATCTAATGTTACCTTGATCTCAAGAGCTCTCCTTGATATGGCTCTTTCTCTTCTCTTCCCTAAAAAACTATACAGTTTTTATAGTTACCCTGAAACACAATGCTGCTTCATGCCTCTGGGCTTTTATAAATGCAAGACATTCTGTTTGGAACACCCTCTCCTCGCCTTTCTGCCCTTTTAATTCTTTCTTCAAACAATCCTCCTCTGAAGTCCTCTCTGATGCCTGGGATAAGTAGATGTTTTCCTGGATGTTACTACCCTCTGCTTCCTTAACCTACTCTAACCACACTGTTGCTTCACTTGTCTGTCTACTTGTTTACTGTTTAAATTGTTTACTTGTATGTTTCTTCTACCAGATTCCCTGAACTCCCCAAGGCTCATAGGTCCCTGAAGGGGCCTTGTCAGATTTTCATGTCTGTGTACCTAATCCCTGGCACAAAGTGAATGACTAATATTCATTTGTTGAATGAAGGAACAAATGAGCCCAGAGCCAGAGTGCAGAAGTACTAGATTCTAGTCTCAGATTTGCAACTGGTAACTATGTGTCCGTAAGCAAGTTACTTCCTTCTGTGGGCTTCTGTTTTCCTTTATATAATGTAAAGAAGTTAGATTAAATGACCACTGAGAGTCATTCTGGCTTGAGTCTTTCATGATGTTAAGACATTATAAAGTTAAAAGGAAAATTATAAGACAATAAAATGGAACTTTATTAATCATATGACATTATTCTCCTAAAAAAGAGAGGTTTCTTGTTTTAGATACCCTAAATTGTGTCAGGTTTGAATTGCATCCATACTCTTTACCCTGAAAAATAATTTGAGATGGGAAATCTGGACTTCTGTTCTAATATCTTCTACCATAAAGTTCAAGGCCAAGATTGTACAATCGTCTCTACACTGGTTAAATTCAATTAATATTTGCCAGATGGATGAATAAATGCATTATTCTATTTGTAAGGCTGAGAATCTTATGGTTTAGGCAAAAAGCATAGTGACACATCCATTCAGGCATTCAACAATTTTTTTTAACAATTTACTGTGTGCTAGATACCAGGACACAATGGGCAACAAAATCGTTATGTAACTTACCAGTCCAGTAGGAAGATAGACTTTACTAAAATTATACACAAATTATACATCACAAACTATAAAATGCCAGAATTGACTCTTACACAGGTTGCACACTCTTTAGGTTATAAAGGGCTTTTTGCATGTTTGATCTTAGGGAAATATATAGAGTCTAGAGTCTAGACTATTTTAAGTAGTCTAGTCTAGTTTAGCTAAAAGTACAGATTTTAGTGTTGCATAGACCTGGGTAAGCTGATCACTTACTTACTAACTGGGGTCTTAGGCAAGATTCTAAACTTCAGTTTCATCATCTTTTTTTTTTTAATATTTATTTTTTTTAGTTTTCGGCAGACACAACATCTCTGTTTGTATGTGGTGCTGAGGATCGAACCCAGGCCGCACGCATGCCAGGAGAGCATGCTACCGCTTGAGCCACATCCCCAGCCCCATCTTTTAATGGGGAAAAAAAAAACCAGGACATTCATCACAGGACTATTATGAGAACACAATGAGATAATGCACATAAAGCACTCAGCACAATGCCTACATATGACTGCTAAATAGTATCTATTTTTTCTTTTGTTTTAAATAGTTCTCTTTAAAAAAACATTTTTAGTAGCTATTATAAATTATAACACATTTTTTTTTCTGCATAGCACTTTTCCTTGTATCTCTTTCTTCTTTCAGAGGAAAGACAATTATGCAAGCCAGACAGAATTGATTCCACCACTTATTAGGTCCACCACTAACAAGGTGCCAAATGGAACAAAGAGTACCTATCTCCTAGCATCATCCAAGAATGTGAGTAAGGTGAAGTTTTCAGGGTGTCACATGAGGTCCTAACATATATCTTTGGCTTTAGCATCGATCTTTTGACTTTGGCATCAATACTTATCTTTCATTGGATCAACTGTGGTCAGAGAAATAAGGTCTACTTCATACAAGCCACAGCAATTTTAGGCAGAAACTCGTGACACCACTCTCTTAGGAGGGAGAGAGAGGTGGGCACTAAGGCTGTCAAATACTGAGACTTTGAGAGAGACAGAGAAAACAATGAAGTATTGGGGAAGGAAAATTTTCTTTATTCCCTTAGAGGCTTTTGTTTTGTGGTGCTAGGGATTGAACCAGGGCCTTGCTCATGCTAGCTAAACTCTCTACCGCTGAGCTATACCCCTAATCCCCTTTTAGGTTTTTTGGCTGTCCTTGCTGAGACTAAGAATTAAATTGATGTAAAACAGAATAACAGGAGAAAAGCATACAAATTTACTTAATTCATGTTTGTTTTGTACTGGGACTTGAAACCAGGGACACTTTTTAGATGTTTAGGAGCTTTATTTTTTTATTTATTTTTATTTATATGTGGTGCTGAGAATCGAACTCAGTGCCTCACACATGCTAGACAATTGTTCTACCACTGAACCACAACCCCCGATCCTCCTCAGCTCTTTTTTATTTTTTATTTTGAGACAAGGTCTCACTAAGTTGCTTAGGACCTTGCTAAGTTGCTGAGACTGGCCTTGAATTTGCAAATTGCTGGGATTATACGTGTATTCCACCGTGCTGGGCACTTAATACATGTTTTATGTGGCATGGGATTGCTCATAAAGAAGTGAAAATGCAGAGGAGCAAAATTAATCTCTTAAACACTGAATTGGACAAGTAATAGGTTGTGAAATGTGAAATGTGTTTGGTAGGGAAGTGAATCGGGTAGTGAAGTGACTAGGAAGATAAAGGTTGGTGTAATGAGGTTTGTCCAGATTTTCATGAGGTTCCATTTCCATCTTCAATAATAAGAATGTTACGTTTATATATATATATATCGTGAATATACACACAAACACAACACACACACACACACACACACACATATATATTTTGGTACCAGGGATTGAACCCAGGGGCACTTAACCACTGAACCACATTCCCAGACCTTTTTTATATTTTAGTTAGAGAAGAGTCTCACTGAGTTGCTTAGGTGCTTGATAAATTGCTGAGGCTGGCTTTGAACTAGAAATACTCCTGCCTCAGCCTCCAGGGTGCTGGGATTACAGGCGTGCACCACCATGCACAGCAAGACATTTTTCACATGAAAATTTTATTCCTGTGGTATATATATATATATACCACAGGAATAAAATTGGACTGAATTGGACAAGTAATAGGTTGTGATATATATATATATATATATATATATATATATATATATGTTGTAGTTGGACACAATACCTTTAATTAATTAATTAATTAATTTTTATGTGGTATTGAGGATCGAACCCAATGCTTCACATGTGCTAGGCGAACTCTCTACTGCTGAGCCACAATCTCAGCCCTTATTCCTATTTTTAAGAAAAAGAATGAAGGTCAGAGTGATCTTCTTGCACCTGCTGTTTTTAAAAGTCTTTAATTCAACACAGTCAATATGCCAGAGCAGCATATTTTAGGGTGGTATATTCTTAACTCCTTCAAAAGCAAGCCCAAGGTCCTTGGGTTTCATGAAAGGAAGTAGTTGAGTCATCAGGCTTGAGTAACAGTAGCTGACAGAGCAGCTCACAGTGGCCTTAATGGGTGTATGTTGATTCAGGATTTTCATGGGTAGAGCTAAGGCTGAGATATTGGGGAGTGGAATTTGAAAAATATCTATTCAGCTGCAGGGAGGAGATGAAATAAGGCTACCTCCAAGGCCTTTTCTATCTCAAGTTGCCAAATTGCCCTGTGACTCTGGGACCAGGATGGGCCCAGGAAGTGGGAGTCAGCAACTCTGAAGCATAAAATCACAAAGGCAATGAATGTTTGGATGGAGTGCCAGGTCCCAAAAAGAATGCCTCTTTGTCTGCATGCCATCTGTGCCAAAACAAAACACATTTATCAGCATCTCCTTGAAACCGTAAGGGAGAGTCTAAAAAGTTTAAGCAACAAAAGAGGGTAAATGGAAATTGATTGTTCATTATCATCATTACTAATTCAAGAAGTATAAAATGTTACTGCTAATCTCTTTACTTGGTAAGATAATTTTATTATTTTGCTTTGCTAAATGTAAGTACGTATGATTTAGCCTCCTAAGCACATTTTTTCTATCTACTTTTATGAGAACAAATATTTCATGCCCTTCAATCATATTTCCATGGTAGTCTTTAGAATTTAACTGTCATAAAAGATGTTAGAGTAAGTCATTATGTATAAATTACTCACATACTTGGTATTTAAGCCACTTCATGTGGTAGTGCCTGAAGAGTAAGATCTTAGGCATTGTATAGTGAGGGGATTTCAGGAATATTGGAGTCATCCTCTGTTATACTCTTACCCTTTCCATAAGACTTGATCAGCATTGGCTGCATTTTATTTTCTAACAAAAAATTTTTTTTCCTTTTTTTTTTTTTTTTTTTGTAGTACTGAGGATTGAACCTATGGATTCCCACACACTAGACAAGAATTGATCTAATCTCCAACCATTTTTATGCTACTTTGAGTCAGGGTTTTATTACATTTCCCAGGCTCCTCTCAAATTTGTGATACTCTTGCCTCAGCCTCCCAAGTAGCTGAGGTTACAAATGTGTACTACCACACCCAGTCACAAATAAGTTTAATATGTTGCTTTTTTTTTCTCCTTTACTCCACAGATGAATGGAAAAAACGATGGGTAGAATCTAAACATCGGCCGGATTATGGTAAATTTCAGCTTACCGCAGGAAAATTTTATGGAGACCAAGAAAAAGATAAAGGTAAATACTGGAATTCAGGAATGCACCAATTGAATGGGAAAATTCTGACTTTTATGCAATTGTTTTTATTTCTGACTATCAATTCATTTGTCTTACTTAAAAAATTAGAAGATGGAGACCAGGCAGGGTGGTGCATACCTAATCCCAGTGACTCTGGAGGCCGAGGCCATAGGATCACAAATTCGAGGCCAGCTTTAGCAACATAGCAAGACCCTGTCACAAAATAAAAAATAATAAGGACTGGGAATGTAGCTCAGTGGTAGAATACCCTTGGGTTCAATTCCCATGACTAAAAGGAAAAAAAAAATAGTAAATGGAAAAGGATTAACTTTCTACTAAAATAATAATATCCATTCATTGAATAATAGGCATTTTAAACTAGGTCCTTACACATATTATTCCCATTAGTCCTTCTAACAACTTTATGAGGTGGTCACTATTATTTTCCTAGTTTTGCAAAGGAGCCTAGGAGAGGTTGGGTTATGAGCTCAAGTCCATATAACCAGCTGCCAACGGGTGGGACTGAGATCTGATTGTGGGTCTGGCTTCAGAAACTGTTCATTACTCGGACTATGCTGCTTTCCCAACCCCCCTAGGATTTTTCAAGTAGCACTCTGCACTTGAAGCAGAAGAAAGCACTGCATAATGTCCAAATGTTTCTCTTCCCTAGAGCAGTTTAGTATCGTAGATAGTGGAGTAAAACAGACCTAGGGCTAACTCCCATCACCTACTAGCTGTACAATTAGAACAAGTCTTTTTACTTCTCTGAGCCTTGATTTTAGGAGACAGTATCATCACTTGCCATGTTCATTAGACAGAGCCATTTTAAGGGCAAATAGTATTGTGAAGAAAGAGTGAGCTCTGAGGACTAGGGCTGTCAGCATGGGTTTTTGGTCTCAGAAAGCTTTTGTCTATAAATAGAATTCATTGATCATTCTCTGCAGTGATTTCCCATCTTCTCCTTCCTGGCTACTGTTATGCATCTCATTTTCATGTTTACTGAAGGAGAGCATTATAAACTGGTTTGAGCATTTTAAATCTTATTTAAATCCACTCTGGAAAATTGCTTCTAGAGAATTAGAGACTGAGTGACCCATGGGACAGACACCTGTGTCATGGTGACTCCAGTAAGGCAGTCTGCATAGCCACCCATCTCCTATCATTTCACTCTCAGTTGTCATCCTTCACATCTCATCCCACTCAAGCTCTTCAGATTCCTTTTGGTTGTCTGGAAGGTCCCCGGGGTATGAAAGAGGCTTGGTGAAGGGGAACTGAATCAGGCAGAGTTTGGTAGAACAGAGCCTCAAAACTTGCTCTTCTGGGCTGGGGATGTGGCTCAAGCGGTAGTGCGCTCACCTGGCATCCGTGAGGCCCGGGTTCGATCCTCAGCACCACATACAAAGATGTTGTGTCCGCCAAAAAACTAAAAAATAAATAAAAATTCTCTCTCTCTCTTAAAAAACAAAAACAAACAAACAAAAAACTTGCTCTTCTGATCCTGTGCCACTCCTTTCTCCGAGGAAGTCTTTCCTGGCTTCTCTAACTGCTCCCCTCCCTGAGATCTTTGAAGAAAGATCTCTTTTAAATTTTCTTTAGCTGGGCAGGGTGGCACATGCCTGTAACCCCAGCAGCTCAGGAGGCCGAGGCAAGAGGATCACAAGTTCAAAGCCAGTCTCAGCAAAAGTGAGGCACTAAGCAACTCAGTGAGACTCTGTCTCCAAATAAAAATACAAAATAGGGCTGGGGATGTGGTTCAGTGGTCAAGTGCCCCTGAGTTCAATCCCCAGTACCAAAAAAAAAAAAAAAAAATCTCTTTAAAATGAGAACAGGCCACACACAATGGCATATATTTGTAATCCCAGCAAGTGGGGAGACTGAGGCAGGAAGATCACAAGTTCGAGGCCAGCTGGGGGCAACTGAGTGAGACCCTGTCTCTAAAAAACAAAAGGCCTGGAGGTGTAGTTAAATGGTAGAGCACTCCTGGGTTCAATCTCTAGTACTGCAAAATAGTAGTAGTAGTAGTCATCATGGAATAAAAATGTGCACAGTTCTTAATATGATGTCAGACAGGGAAGTACTTATCAAAGAGCCTGGTGTGCAATAAATGCTTGAGGGAACTTATCTGAATCAGAACCTATCATCCTTTTAATAACTCAAAACACATTTATTGAGCATTTCCTGTATTCCAGGCCCTGTCCTAGATGCTGGGAATATAAAGATGGCCCTGTTCTTCAGGAGCTTAAAAATTACTCAAAGGGACTGAAATAAACCTAAATTCACCAGAGTGTGACTCAGGGAAGTAGAGAGAACTGTGAGCTCATGAAGTAAAGACCTTGAGCAAGCATGAATCATGATAGCCCCTTACATTGCATGTTGATAGCTTTTAAAAAAAAAAATAGAAATATTGCATTTATTAACTTGGAAATTTGAAAAAAGGTGGGGAGTATTTTATGTTAAAATATAATGGGAATTTCAATTAGAGATAAAGAAGTTAAAAGTACATGGAAAGCTAAGAGATAAATTAATACTGAACAAGACTGCAGGGTCTAACATACAAGAATGATTTTGTCTCCAAAAGCACGTTGCACGAACCAATTCTTTATATGACTTATGGGATTTGTGTTGACAGTTTATAAGTACTTCTTGCATCTCTTGCTTACTTGACCTTCACCAGGAACCCTGTGAGATAGAAATAATTATCCACATTTTGTTAATGAGGAAATGAGACTCAGAGAGTTAAAGAGGCAGAGCCATCACCAGTCAGCTGGGCAGCAGCGTGGCATAATAAAGACTACTGGCCTGGGAGCCAGGAGACTTGGCTTGTCTGTTATTTGTGACTGTGTGATCTTGAGTAAGTAACCTTTCTTCGCTGGAGCATGTTTTCCTCATCAATAAAGTAATGTGGTTAGACTAGAAAGACTCTAAGATCCCTGACCACCATGATATTTGCTGAAGAGGGAGGAGGTAAAAGACTTGAAGTGAAGGCTGGGGGTTCTGGAATTAGAAGGATTGGTTGGGTGATCCTGGACAAGTGAAATGGCCTCATCAATTTTATGACAAAGTGGAGACATCAGTAGAGCCCAACTAATGAGGGTTTTATGAGGATTAAGTGCAATAACAAACATGAATGAACATATTGTCTGGTAAAGATTAAGTGTTCAGGGCCTGGGGTTGTGGCTCAGCGGTAGAGCACTCGCCTAGCTTGTGTGAGGCGCTGGATTCGATCCTCAGCACCACATAACAATAAATAAAATAGAGATATTGTGTCCAACTACAACTAAAAAAATATTTTTAAAAAAAGATTAAGTGTTCAGTCAACAATAGCAAAGATGATCATTTGATCTAAGAGTTGATACAGGGTCTCTCTCTTTAAACATTTTTTTAGTTGTAGATGGACACAATATCTTTGTTTATTTGTTTTTATCTGATGCTGAGGCTCGAATCTAATACCCTACATGTGTAAGGCAGGCACTCTACCACTAGGCCATAGCCCCTGCCCCTGCAGGGCCTCTTTTAACCTCAGCACTTTTGCATGGCAGAGCCTCATTTTGGCCTGGGTGGGGCAGGGAGAGGAGGTGTCTCAAAAAAACAAAACAAAACAAAAACAAAAACAAAAAACAGGGCCTTGTTTTGTAAAGCTACAGAGCAGTGTTTAAATATCTCTTGAAAAGCAGAGGTAGCTTGGATAGAAGGAAAGAAAGCATTTGTCAAATGTGGCTAAAACTTCCAGCTTGATTCCTTATCAGGCATGTGGTCCAATGCAGGTCTCTTGACTTTCCCAGAACTCACCCTCCAGACTTGTAAAGTGGGGTTATACCATTTTGCAGGATTGTTCTAAGGCTTGAATGAGATTACAAGTGTAAAACTTTCAGCACAGCTACTGTGTGTGAGAAAATACCAGAGATTGGTTACATCAAGTGATGAGTCTCTCTGGTTGCTTTTTGGTCATTTAATCCTAAAGTCTCTATGCTCTCTGTTTTTAGGTCTCCAGACCAGTGAAGATGCCAAGTTTTATGCCCTTTCAACAAGGTTTAAGCCGTTCAGCAATGAGAATGAGACCTTGGTGGTTCAGTTTTCAGTAAAACACGAGCAAGGCATTGATTGCGGTGGCGGGTATGTGAAACTATTTCCTGCCACCCTGAACCAAGAGGATATGCATTCAGAATCTGAGTATTACATCATGTTTGGTAAGCTCTCTGAAAACAGTTGCTGTCAGTCCCACAAGGTACTACGTGAGATAAGAACTACTGTGGTTGTTGAAAAGATTTACGTTGACCTGGAACAAAATTTGTAATGTGATAGTTTCACACTACCTGTGCAGTAGGACTCTTCAACAGGATATGAAAAAAGCAACTCTAAACCTAAATGTTAATATAAATAGACCAAAGAGGTGGGGAGGTGCCTGGTATTAGCAAATTTATAGCACAGGGGAAAGAGAAGGGAACTGGAACTCTATCTTAGTGGTTGAGGTGCTTGCCCAGCATGTTCAATGTCCTGGGTGTGATTCCCAATACTCCTGGGTTTGGGGTGAGGAGAGAAGGTTGTCATAAACAATGTAGACAGTCTCAAAAGCTATTACTACAATAAAACACTGTGCTCTGCATCCTCCCCTTTTCCTACTTAGTTTTTTGTCATTTGATCTCTTACTCAGAGTTCATTCTGTGATCTTATAGCACCTCATTAATATCTTTTAAAAAAATATGACCTTCATTCTTATAGCATCACTGTTTGTCAAAATTATGTGTCTTTGCTCATTTTTCTTTCTTCAGAATTTACCCTTCTCACAAGAAATGTATGTGTACACAGTGGTAGTAGTAGGGAAATTGGAAATAATAAAAATGTGATTTTTATCCCTTTTATGTGTACGTTATTTATTTGATCCTCAAACAACCCTATAAGATTGGGTTTTCTTTCAGGCAAGAAATTTGCCTAAAGTGAGTAAGTGGGAAACCAGAACTTGAACCCAGTCCATTTGCTTCTAAAGCCTGTATTTTTTCTACTTCATCCATCCACCTTCAGGCAATTGAATAATTTTTAACCGATGGAATGAACCCTCAGATATACACCTGTAATCCCAGCTTCTCGGGAGGATGAGGCTAGAGAACTAGTTCAAGGCCAGCCTCAGCAATTTAGTGAGGCCCTAAGCAATTTAGTGAGACTCTGTCTTAAATCAAACATAGAAAATTGTTGGGGATGTAGCTTAGTGATAAAGTGCCCCTGAGTTCAATCTCCCGTAAGGGATTTGCAGGGAGGAAGAATGAAGGACATATTTTTTAAAAGATGTTAATGAGGTGCTATAAGATCACAGAATGAGATCATGGCATGATTCAGTTCAACTGGAGGATTTGGGGAAGAGATGTTAATTGTTCTTTGAAGATTGAGTTAGATTTTAATAAGGAGGGAAGGAAGTAGAGGGTATGTAATGAGGGCAGAGGAAGCACGTGTGCAAAAGTTGAGTCATAAAATTCAGTTGGAAGTAGAGAAATGGTGAGAACATCAATGTAGCTAGAGCACTTTGTAGGGGTGTTTGTGTGTGTTGGATAGTCAGAGAACACTAACTCAGAAGGTGAAGTTGAAAATTAGGTTAAAGTCTATTCCTGAACCTTTGGCATATAAAGTTCTCTGGGCTCAGAGTTACTGATCAATAAATATTTCCCCTGAGAGTTTTCACAAGGTAGAAAGGCCCTAAGGCTCTGCAACTAGGTAGGCAGTGATTTCAATCCCAGCAAGGCTTCTTATTAGCTGTTTGACCTTGGGCAAGCTGCTTAACTTTTCGGAGACACAATTTTCCCAGCTAAAAGTGGAGATAGTAATACCTACTTGTGAGAATTAAATGACATGGTATAGAATGCCTGACACGGGAGGGGATTCCGGTTGGTTTGGTCAATAGGATCCCTGGAAGGACATCAGAGAGACAGAAAAGAGCTGTATCCCTCAACTAAGAGTACCCTTTTCTCCTGGCTGCTTCTCCACAGGACTCTTTTTCCAAGCTCTGGTAACTCCTCCTCCTTACCCCTTCAGGCCCTGGGTGGGACTAACCACTCCCTAGCCCTGAGATAGCACTATAGCTTTCCCAATGTCCTGACCCTGCCTTTATAAAGATTCCTTTCATTAAATCTTTCTCAAATATTCCTACAGTAGAGTATGTCATGTATTTCTTGCTGATCATACTGATTAACACACAGGCTATGTCTGTCTTGGATCTTGGCCTTGGACTGGGCAAACTGCCTGAAATTGATGTGAAATCATGCTTTGGGGTTTAATTTCCAGGACCTGACATCTGTGGCTTTGGCAACAACAAAGTACAGGTCATCCTTCATTACCAAGGGAAATACCATGAGAATAACAAGACCATCAAGTGCAGGGTGAGTGTATAGGGCTGGTCCTGAGCCTGGGGGGAAGGATAAGCATTTTATATTGGTTACCTCATTAATCCTTACAAACTAAACACTATCATCTACATTATACAGATTAGAAAGTAGAACTAAGGAAGTGCTATAAATTCACAAAAGATCAGCTGATCCAGAAACCTGTGAAGTCATGTAAAGTTCTCAATGCATGACATGGCCCAATCCCTAATGCTAGATACTGGGGAGAATGGGGAGGTAAGGAATGCTGGGCTTTAAAATGAGGGGTCAGTTTATTATAGTAACATCAGGCTAGAGACACTAAGTTTAGCTAAAGGAAAGTAGGTGGATTTCATGAGTAATTTGACAAACACTCACCAAATGCTAACTCTGAGCTGGGACTTGGGGGTGGACGATGTGCTAGACATGACCTCTGACCTGATAAAACTTACAATTAAGTGAAGATAAGAGTCAAGAAGAGGAAAGTTGGGGCTGGGAATATAGCTCATTTGATAGATGCTTGCTTTGCATGCACAAGACCCTGTGTTCAATCCCCAGCACCAAAAAAAAAAAAAAAAAAAGAGGAAAATGACCACCTAGTATAATTGGGGTCTGGGAATACAGGGGAGGACCCCCACCCAAACCGGAGGCTTAGACAATGCTTCTTCTTCTTTTTTTAATATATATTTTTCTAGTTGTAGTTGGACACAATACCTTTATTTTATTTATTTTTATGTGGTGCTGAGGATCAAACCCAGTGCCTCGTACATGCTAGGCGAGCGCTCTACTACTGAGCCACAATCCCAGTCCAGCAATCCTTCCTAAAAGAATTTTTTCCCTGGGCTAAGTTTTCAAAGATGAGCATAACTTGAAGGGATATGATAATTTTACAGAGAACTGAATTCCTAGCGGAGAAAATTGCTTGAGAAAAGTCAAGGAAACTTGAGGAAGAGTGGTACCGCCAGAGATTTGGCACAGCCAGGGCACAAAGAAGATAGGAACTGAGTCTAAAGAAGCCATGGGGCCTGGGTTATTGGTTCAAACCCAGAGCCTTCCTGAGGAGGATGGTGTGGGGGCTGTGTGTGCAGGAGCTCCCTGATGTCCTCCTCTGGAGCAGGAATGCAACTGATGGATCATATATGACTCCAGCTGTTGAGAAGCTCATAGTCTAGTGAGCTAGACAGAAAAAGTCAAGATCAGAGAATGATCAGAGCTATTGTAAAGAGGAGGCTGGAAGGTGAGGGAGACTGGAGGAGTGTGTACTAGGACAACAGACCCAGGATCCCTAGAGGGTTAACCAGAGAAAGGGGAGGAAGATGTGATAAAGTATATTTGTGAAAATGTGGGAGGTGGCATTCAGGGAACTGTGGATCTCGTGTATTTAATGCTTGAGATCCAAGAAGTTCAATATAGAGCTGAGATATTTCCCCATTTCCTTTATAGATCAATAAAGACACTCACCTGTATACTCTGATCATTCGTCCCAATGCTACTTATGAAGTCAAAATTGACAACCAGCAAGTGGCAACTGGGGAACTGGAGGATGATTGGCAGTTCTTGCCTCCCAGGAAAATAAAAGACCCCTATGCCCGGAAACCAAGGAAATGGGATGAACGCCTGCAAATAGAAGATCCTGAAGATAAGAAACCTGAGGTCAGAGGATATTTGTCTGGGAAGTGGATGGGATCCCAGCAGTGAGGTAAAAGGAGGAGGCTGGGAATGATAGAGCAGAGACTGGGCCCATCAAGATCAGTATTCAAAGCAGGATGGAGGGAAGAGAGCATACATTTGTTGAGGATCCTTCTGACAACCTCTGTGAGCAGTGTTGTATGCATAAGGAAACACATTAGAAAACGAAGTGACTTGCCCAAGCATACACACATTAGAAGGAAGATTTGCACCTCTATTTCTTTGACTCCAAAGTTATTGATATGGGCAATATAAGGTACATACTCATTGATTCATTATCATTCTGGAAAGCTGTACTGGAGGTATCTTTGATGAGGACAACCCTTATTCTCCAAGAACTCTAATAGGGGAGGCAGATAAGAAAACAAAGATCATACCCTGTGATCAGTGCTGAGACCCAGGGAGGTCAAAGTCTGTGAGAGCCCAAGCCCAGTTTGGGGTGGAGTATAGGTTGTGGTCTGAGAAAGAAGATGTTTAAGTGATTAGATTAACCTAAGGGATAGAAAAATAGACTCTGGGGCCAGACAAACATGAGCATCAATGTGAGTTCCACCACTTATTAACTATGAGACCTCAACCTACTAACAAACCCTGGGCAAAGAACATACTGTTTTGAAAGTCAGTTTCATAAACAGGGATTAGTATGATGCCCATGCATGAAAGTTGTTGTGAAGATTAAATGAGCTAATATAAAATACAGAACATAATGTCTGGTACATGGTAAATCCTTAATATATGGCATTTATATCCTTTATAACATACTGAATTTCAAACAATAAATTCACTAGAGTAAGGGAAGTAAAAATGGGTTAGAAGAAAGACATTCCAGACCTAGGGAAAAGGTGAAGCAAAGGTGGAAAATAATATGATTGTCAAAAGAACTGAAGCAGCAGTTCAGTATTTTGGGAGGATAAAGTTCAAGGTGGTACATGATAGGAGGACAGCCTAGAAGTCTTCCAGAGCCAGCCCATGGAGGGCCCCACCTGCCATGTTGCTACTCCACAGGTCAGAGTAGGGTCAGTTTCTTGTGAGGAGATGTTTGGGGTAGGTAAGGGCAGCAGGGAACCCAACAGCTGGGTTTGGTCCTTGGATATATAAGGTGTCCCCCCAAGACTCCTTTGTTAATGCAGAAATATTTAGAGGCAAAATGAATGGATTGTGAGAACTGTACTCTAATCAGTCCATACTAGTTTGAATGGGTCACTAGGGAATGTGACCTGAAAGAGTTCATCTTCCTTGCAGCTGCTTTCTCTCTCTTCTTCCTGACCTCCATGAGGTGAGCACTGTTTCTCCACCACATCCTTCTGCCATGATATTCTGCCTCACCTTGATCCCAGAGTAGCAGACTTGGCTGACCATGGAGTAAATAACTGAAACCATGAGCCAAAATAAACTTTTCCTTCTCTCAGTTGTTCTTGTGGGGTCTTTTGGTCACAGTGGCAAAAAGCTGACTGCAGTGTAACCTTATGTAAAGAGACTCAGCAAAAGACTCCAATTACAGGGGGAGGGAGATTTAGGCAGAGATTAAGACAGATAATCAGGCAAAGTGTCTGGGCCTTCAGCACCGTGGGAAAATTAGGTCTAAACTCTTACCAAACCTGGTGGGCAGGCTCAGGGCAGCAAGATTAACCATAGATCTGCTCTCCTGGTGAAACCCTCCACCTGATGCTGTCAGAGTTGGCTCAAGTCCTGGGTGAAAGCAGAGAGGCTGAAGGCCTCTGTTCCCCCTGCAAAATGAACCAGAAGAAGATGGAAACTGATTAGCTGGTTGGGGCTCAGCTTCCTGAAACAGAAAGTTAGCATCCTATCCTGGGAGCTATCCTCTTGAGAGAACCCTGCCTAGAAAATCTGTCTCAAAAATTGCAACACCTTTCAATACCATCACACTGGCAATTAAATGCTGGTGGGAACAAACCACATCCAAACCATAATAAGCACATGTTTGGGGAAAGGGTGAGGTCAGAGACAAGGGAAATTCCTATCTGATTTGAGCTTCAAGTACTCAAGGTCAGAGTGACAGAGAACCCAGAGGTGGGGCAGGAGTTGCTGCTTAAAGGCTTTTTGTTTCCTGCATAGGAGTTTATTTACAAAGTCCTGAGCTGGCCCTTTATGTAGGTGAGCAGAAAGATGGTTGGGGTAGGGAACCAGTTCCTCCTGACTAAACTTGGGGCCCCAGTTTCATCCCAGACCACAGATCTATCTGCATGGAGAAACATTTCATTTTAGGACTGGGAGGACTTTGAGTACATCCCAGACCCAGAGGCCAAAAAGCCGGATGACTGGAATGAGGCGATGGATGGGGAGTGGGAAGGGCCCCTGATACCAAACCTCAAATATAAGGTGAGGTGGAGGGAGGGAAGGGGGTGTGTGTCTTTCCAATGGGTATGAGAAATAAGATAGAAGCAATGTATATTCTAATTTACAAAACAAATTCTGAGATCCTGTGGTCATTTTTCCCTCACTTCTACTCCCTTACCCCAAATAACACTGTCCTCATGCCAACCCTTCTCTCAGGGCTGTGCCCAACTGGGAGAGGATAGGCTGGTAAGGACAATGCTAAAGCTCCTGAGCAAGGAGCTCGTCCAGTGCAGTGGAAAGCAACCAAAAGAACATGGTCCAAACAGGAAATGGGTCTGGGGTCAGTATCTGGAAGTCTCAGAAGTGGGCCTGGAAGGGAAAGGGTAAAACATGCATGAACTCAAGCTGTTAGGGAACAGAACTTCTTTTTAAGGGTGAATTCCTGACCTCTTGTCAAAAGCAAGAACTAAAGAAGTCAGTTGACAAGTGGACCAACAATAAAACTGACTGAGGCAAGCATTTTATTTGGCCACAGTTTCCTGTGCCACCCACCAGGAGGAGATTGGCCCGAGTGCCAAGATACTTAGATGATGTTCTCTGAGAAGCCACAGTTTCTTAACTTCATGAATAAGCTCATGCAGAGATGGGGACACGCTCAGAATGAGTCTCTGCCCCATCCTTTAGCACCCTCTGAGCAGAAAAGGCAACTTGAAAGAGTCTTGTGCATTAACTCAAAGAAAGGGAAAGAAGCTCCAGGAATCCTGCTCTGAATTCTTATGTCTAATACACAACAACTCTAATGAATTGATTGGCCTTTTTGATTACATGAGATCAGAAGAATGGAAAAATGTTAATCCTGTGTTCATGCTTTGGTTCTTTGCTCAGGGACAGTGGAAACCTCGGATCATTGACAATCCCAATTACCAGGGAGAGTGGATTCATCCAGAAATAGACAACCCTAAATATAAGCCTGACCCCACCATTTGTCATTATTATAACATCAGTGTTCTTGGCCTGGATCTTTGGCAGGTAAAGCTTTCTGGACTCTGATCAACAGTTCTAGTTTTCACACTGTGGAAAGATCCCCAGGTTGGAAATCACAAACTTGAATAAGCCTTTATCTTTCTAAACCTCAAACTTCTCATCTTTAAAATGGGAAATTATATTCATCCTAGTAATTTTAGCTCTTATAAAAGCTAAAATTGACTGAGTTCCTACCATGTACCAAGCATGGCATTAAGGGATATGCCATTTAATTTTCATTATACATCTTCTATTTCTAAATGTGAAAAGGAGGCTCAGAAAAGTTAAATTGCCAGATAATATACCACCGGGAAGGTGAGCAGAAAACTAGGATCTGGGCTGGGCATGGTGGCCCGCCTGTAATCCCAGCGATTTGGGAGAATGAGGCAGGAAGATTGCAAGTTCAAAGCCAGCCTCAGCAACTTAGTGAGGCTCTAAGAAACTCAGTGAGACCCTATCTCTAAATAAAATACAAAAAAGGCTTTGGGATGTGACTCAGTGGTAAAGGAAGAGGAGAGGAAGTAACTTGGTTTTGTAAAAATTGGCCTGGGATCAATACTTTAGCTATATTTTCTTCCTTAATTCCCACACCTCTGTAAGGTATTTTATTATTACCTCTTTTACAATGGAGAGAATTGAGGCTCAGAAATGTCAAGTGAGGTACCCAAGAGCACACAGCTCGTGCATGGGAGAGACAGGATAATTCAAATACATGTCTGTCAGTCTCTAAAGTTCTTTCTGTAATGACAACACCCACAATACAACAGAACCTCTGGAAACCACAGCCACTTATCCTTGGGTGTATCTTGGCAGGTCCCTGGTCCTAGAGATCTCTGTTTTATCTCTATAGCTCACAGCCACCAAAGATCTCTGGATTAGACACATCATATTTCAAGTGTCTCTTAATTTCTTTATTCACTTCCCACTTTAATTCCACTTTTGTTGGTTCAAGGACACCAACATAGAAGTGCAAGGAGGTCACATATGTAAATTACCAGGTGCAGGGAAGGGATTCAGGTGAGCAGTGGCGGAGAAAAATAGCACAGCTTTCCTTCCTGGTTTATCTGATAAATGTGGATACAATTTACACAAATTTGCATTCTTATCTTTCTTTTTTAATTGTCCCTTTTTAATACATTATAGGAACTTTCTACATCTTGGAAACACGTGATCATATTACTATGCCTAGTCTGATTATTGTCTTAAAATGCCTCCCCTTTTTTTCCCCCAATGAAATCCTTAAGGTACACATTTTAAACTTTAGTCATCTACAAAATTAAAAATTATTTGACACTAATTGCTCTGGGTTCTCTCAGCCTCTCTAAGCAGGCAAACCTTTCTATTTTAAGAATTTAAACCATGCCAGAGAAATGCTTCTCAAATCTTAGCATGCATAGAAGTCACTGGGGAACCTTATTAAAATGCAGATACTGGGACTCGGGTGAGACTCTATTTCTAAACCCCCAGCATTACCTCTTTATGGTGCGTGTGTGTGTGTGTGTGTGTGTGTGTGTGTGTGTGGTGTGTGTAAAAGAGAGAGAGAGAGACAGAGAGAGAGAGAGAGAGAGAGAGAATTCTGCAAGATGCTAGCATCGCCCTTGAAGGCATTTTTTTCCCCTCTAACATCTAGTTAGGTCTGGCATCGAGCCGTCTACTCTACCATCCCCACTCAGCTAACCTGGAGCATACAGCTTATCACAGTCTCTGCACCTTATTGGAAAAGCCAAGGGACTCTACACATGAAAACGATGGATATTCCTTTACCTGCCCCTCCCCAACCACCCTAACCCCCCTTTCCAGCCTTTGGATATTCTGCCGGTTCAGTTGCCCGCTCTGTCCTTCCTTCATCCCTACTTAGCAAGTCGGTTGACTTTTCTGCCTTGCCCTGACCCCTCCTGTTCCCTGTTCTGAGGCCTTCAAACATAATCCCTTTATTTTATTTTTTCCTTTTAGATATAAGTAATTGCATTCTTTGGTCAAGGCAGAGGCTAGGCGGGGGTGGCAGAGCAAAGAAAATACTTTTCCTTTGGGACTCCTCATGATCTATTCAGTAAGATAAACTTCAACAAGTATAGCCCAGACATAATGCAAAGCACATTGATATCCTTTAGATCAGGTGGTCTGTGTCAAAGACCTGTGAAGCCAGGAGGGTGGGACTTGCTATCTCCATTTTTTTTCCTTCAATTTGTGTGTGTGTGTGTGTGTGTGTGTGTGTGTCTGGTGACCCAGACTAGGAAGCTAGGCAAGCGCTCTGCCTCTGAGCAACATCCTCACATGCACAAGGCCTTGGGTTCAATCCTCATCACCACCAAGAAAAAAAAAACAAAAACTCTTTCTTATGTGTTCTTTTCTCCTGTGTGAAGAAACCAGAGAGGGTATATTTTCTTCCATTTTGCCATTTTGCAGATGAAAACATAAGCATAGAGAGGAGGTAAATAGACCAAGGTCATCCCACTGGTAAGTTTTTGGAAGCAGGACTAGTACTCTCATAATCTATGAATTTGACATAAGAGGGCAAGGGGTCACTGAAAAGACCAAGAGAGATTAGTAATATGGGAAACAGGAGAAATGGAAAAGCCAGCTAATGATCACCTTCTTTCCTTCCTTCCTTTCTCTCTCCTCCTTCTCCTTCTCCTTGTTTTTTGCTGGTGCTTGGAATTGAAGCCAGGGGCACACTGCCACTAAGCTACATCCAACCCCTTTCTATTTTTTTTATTTTGAAACAAGGTCTCCTAAGTTGCCCAGGCTATTCTAGAACTTGCAATCCTCCTCCTGAGTTACTGGGATTACAGGCTTGCCCCTCCACACCAGGCAAACAGGCAGTTTTCTAAGCAAGATTGCTGACAACACAAAAGAAAAGAAAAAATCCCCAAAGTCAGAAAATATCTTACAGTTGCACAAAGAATTTTTAAAAATATTTATTTTTTAGTTACAGGTGGGTGCAATATCTTTATTTTTTTGTGGTACTGAGGATCGAACCCAGTGCCTCACACATGGTAGGCGAGCGCTCTACTTCTGGGCCACAACCTCTCTGCACAAGGAATTTTGAAGACAAATTTTTTTTCAAATTAGTCAGAGCAAAATAACAATCTTTATCTATTTTGTTGGTTGGTGGGGTGAGATGAGTCAAATAAAAGTCTTTCTCATGAAAAACAAAAACATAAACAAAATACGTAAAAACAACAACAAAACCCTTTTTGATCCCAAAAGTGTATGGCAAGGTGGAAGTTTTCAAAGCTTTGGGGAGTGACATAGTGTAACTCACCTGAGGCTTTTTCTTGGTCACACAACTTCTCCCGTGAAATTAACTTGAAGATTTAACATGGCGCTAAAGTAAAATATCACTGATTGGCCCTCCTTTTATTTGTTTTGAAATATATCCATATACCAAAAAAGTATAATCACTATTATCATTTACTGAGCATCTATTATCTGCTGAACACTGTGCTTTGCATTTTTTAGCTCTAATTTTCATGACACTATCACAGGGAGTTATTATTTCCCTTCTCTTATCAGAGGAGTGGAGTAACTTGCCCAAGATCATACAACTACTATGTGGTTGAACTGGTCTGTTTGACTCCAGGTCTTGTGCTCCTTCTATTCTATTCCTTTGTTATGAAATAAATAAACAAACACTGAAAATATTACATACCATGAATTTAATTAATCTTTCTTTCAATGGTGAATATTGAAAATGTTATTTAAGAAAATAGAGAAATATGGTATAGGATCTAAATTTTAGAGAATTTAAATTCTGCTTGCATTTTTATGAAAACTTTTCTTTCCCCCATGTTCTTTTAGTTTTTCTGATTATTCTAAGGAGAGGACCTTAAATATAGTATCTATATGTAGGCATCATCAGAAGGAGGTGTTGTCAATCTGAGATGGGGCATGAGCCACTGGGCACAAACTAGAGGTTAGCAGAATTATGGAAGTTTCTTTACAGACCTCTTAAATAGTGGGTAGAGGCTTGAAGGAACACCAAGCCTTGGATATCAGTAGATTAATTTCTTTCTACAGCAGATCATCTGGGGCAGTAAAGCATGCTGGATGATTTGAATTTTTAATAATCTTTGCATTCCCACCCTAACCTCCATCAATATTATTATTAATTTTTTATTTTTGATACTGGGGATTGAACCCAGGGACACTTAACAATTGAGCCACATCCTCAGCCTTTTTTAAAAATATTTTATTTAGAGATAGGGTCTCACTGAGCTGCCTAGGGCCTCTCTCAGTTGCCGAGGCTGGCTTTGAACACAAAATACTCCTGCCTCAGCCTTCTGAGCTGCTGGGATTATAGGCATGTGCCATGGTGTCCGGCTCCCAAACTCCATTTTTAATTAAAATTTCTGAGCCTGAGGCTTGGGAATCTGCATTTAGCAAGGGCCTCCTAGTGAACTATATTTGGGTATGTGTGTGCTGAGAATGAATCCCTGGCCCTGCATAGGTAAGCATGTGCTCTACCACTTAACTACATCCCTATCCTCCAGGTGATATTTCTTTTTTATAATTTATTTTTTGGAACTGAGAATTGAATCAAGGGTGCTTCACCACTGAGCTACATCCCCAGTCCTTTTTATATTTTATTTTTGGGACAGGATCTTGCTAAATTGGCTTAGGATCTTGCTAAGTTGCTGAAACTGGCTTCGAACTTGTGGTCCTCCTACCTCAGCCTCCTAAATTGCTGGGATTACAGGCATGTACCACTGTGCCTGACTCCAGATGATTTTTTTCAGACCCTTTAATATTTAAGCATCCAGTTTTAATAATCCCATTATTTTATTTTAACAGGTAAAATCAGGCAGTATATTTGACAATTTCCTTCTTACAAATGATGAAGAGTTTGCTGAAGAGGTTGGAAATAAGACCTGGGGAATAAGAAAGGTAAGATGTTCCCCAACCTGTATTCCAAATGTCTGTGTCCTCAGTTGTGCACTGTTATTTGCATTAATTTTTTTTAGTTATAGATAGACATAATACCTTTATTTATTTATTTGTATGTGGTGCTGAGGATCCAACTCTGTGCCTCACATGGGCAAGGCAAGCGCTCCACCACTGAGCTACAATTCTAGTCCCTATTATTTGCATTTTAAAAATCAGTCTCACATTATAACCCACAGCTGGTAACATGGCCTTGAGAAGTGAGACAAAGAACTCACATTCATTGGACATCTACAACTCTGTACTTACGACTCTGTGAGTACTTTGCAAAATTCATCTCAGCCCTTAAGATGACCTAAAAAGATATTATTACTTCCATTTTTCAGATGTAGAAATTGAGATTAAGAGTATAAACTGTACAAGGTCGACCACATGCACTCTTTAACTTGGTGAGTTCAAATTTGAACCCAGAACTCATATACCTTTTGTGCATCATGCTGAGTACTCAGTGTGGTGCTCTAGGAGGGAGCCACTGAGCCCATTTTGGATGGATGGCTTGCAGAAAGTGCTGTTTACTAGCTTCTCTGTCCTCCCAGAATATTGTATGGGTGGAGTAATACCTGAGACAATGGCCTTATGATAGTGACACAAGGCATCCAGATGTCCTGGCTCTGCAGGAAGGCCCATTCAAGCAGGATGTAGCCAGTGCTTGACTATGCAACAGGAAACATCCTTAAAGTACTTGCAAAGTATAGACAACAACAACAAAAAAGGGTACTTGATATTTCAAAAAAAGCTTTAAAGTAATAATTATGGGGAAAAGTTATTAGACTTTTTTATACCTTTTAGTATGGTTTTGTCTTGTTTATTTGGGGGTTATCATCAAATATTGTTTAATTGAGTCACTATTACATATTGGTTAAGAGTATGAGTTTTCGTTAGAATCAAGGCATGCACCATACTTAGGTCCTGGACTACTGCTTTCCCTTGGAAAGAAAAAAATTGGGTTTGTATTTTTCCTTGACATCTACCAAATATAACAATTTTGCAAGTTCAAAAAAAGAGTTTGAGTTTTGGGGCTTGGGTTCTGGCTCAGTGATAGAGTGCTTGCCTAGCATATGTGAAGCACTGGGTTCGCTCCTCAGCACCACATAAAAATAAATAAAGAAAATTAAAGGCATTGTGTGTCACGACCCCCTTGCCCGCAAGGAAGACGCGACTCAGGAATCTTCTTTCAGCAGTTTATTCAGGCCCCTGATATTCTTTTAATGGTTCTTCTACTACCCGGAATCATAATTGGATGCCCCTCCCAGCCTTAATAAAGCACCTCGAACCCCAATGCAAAGCTGCCACGTGTACCCTTCTCACAGGGTGCTAGAAAATGACACGCCAACTTTCTCTGATAAGGAGCTGGGAACACGCCAACTCTCTCTGATATGGAGTTGTCCTTCACAGACCACAACGGAGCCAGCGCCATCATGTAATGGCGACCACAGTCCGCAGGAACGGCTCACCACAATTGTGTTCATTTATAACTAAAAAATTTTTTAAAAAAGAGTATGAGTTTTGGAACTAGACTGCTTAGATTCAAATTCAGGCTGCATTCTTCACTGGCTGTATAAACTTGAGCAAGTTATTTAACTTCTTTATTATTCGGAAATAATGATACCAACTATCTCATAAGTTACTGGCATACAATATGTGCTTAATAATAACTATTATTATTGAACCATTTGTTCACTTGACAAATATTTGCTGACAAATATTTGCCTGTTCAAAGCTAGGTATATAGCCAAGAAATAAAATAAAGAAGTTTTTGCCTCCATAGGGCTTACATTCAATTTGGGGGAAATGTATAAAGAAATCCAAACTTCAGATCCTATGTTTAGAAAGTAGGACAAGTAACACTTACCTCATGCATTGCAGTGAGGAATATAAATGATGTGTGTAGATTGTTTAGCTCTGTGTTCAGCAGCAATAGTAGGCATTCAATAAATATTTGGTAATTCTGAATCAATTTTTATTTACAAATCACACACACACACACACATTTTCATTCCACACATTTGAAATTTTGTGTGTAAATAAATACTATCCCAGAAAGTTTTTAGGCTATGGGAAGATGCCAGACATTCTAAAGTGGGTTAACTTTATTTATTCTTTCTGTAAATTATTTTGAAATTTCACATTTTAAACAGGACATAGAAAAGCAATGGAGAGAACTGTATGAAGAAATGGAAAAAAGAAAACAGGAAGAAGAGGCCAAGAAGAGAAAGGAAGAGGAAGAAGAACGGGAAGATGACATCTGGGGACTTGAAAAAGAGGAAAATGAAGAGGATCCCGAGGAGGAACCAGGAAATTCCGACAGGCAGGTGCAGGAAGACAATGAAGAAAGAGGTTTGCTGGGTGAAAATGAAGAAGTCCGTGTTGACCAGAAGGATGAACTGTAATTGGGGAAAAAATGATGATGCTCTGAAGCAAATGATGGTACTTAGAAGGAGAAATGTTTAATGCACCAATTTTTTAAAATGTGTGGAAAGAAAAGGAAAAAAGAAAAAGGAGACTGTTGGAAGAAACTTTGGGTTTTTATTTTCACCCACCTCCTCTGCTCTGCAAGATCTTCAGAAAGTCTTATCACCTCTTGGGATCATTTCCTTATTAGTGGAAAGGAGAGATCATTTCTATTTCATGAGGTTGTTGTAGGGATTAAAATGAGCTAATATGTGTAAAGTGCCTGAATATAAATGTATAGTCAAAAGTAGTAACTATGTTAGAAGTCAGCCTGGGCAACTTAATGAAACCAGGTGTCAAAATAAAATTTTAAAAAGGGCAAGGATGTAGTTCAGTGGTAGAGCAGTGGCCTAGCATGTGTGAGGCCCTGGGTTTGATCTCTAATATTGCAGAACAAATAAGTTAATTAATTAAATTGTAGCTATAAAAATTATCATTATCATGGTGTTTAAAATTGTTGGTTAATAAGCTTCTGTGTCAACCTAATCCTCATTTTCAATTTGTTCCATATACCTAAGGATTTTATTTCATTTAAATATCTCTATTGGGCTGGGGATGTGGCTCAAGCGGTAGCGCGCTCGCCTAGCATGCGTGCGGCCCGGGTTCGATCCTCAGCAGCACCACATACCAACAAAGATGTTGTGTCCGCCGAGAACTAAGAAAAAATAAATAAAGTTTAAAATTCAAAATAAATAAATAAATAAATAAATAAATATCTCTATTGCTTAGTCTTTGTTGAGTAGTGCTGATGCTTGTACTTGTGCCATTGATGTTTTCATCTTGCAAATGTATCAAGCACTTAGAAAAAAAATCAGATTTCCTCTTAACATAAGAAAGCTACTTTATTTGTTTGTTTATTTATTTATTTATAGTACTGGGGATTGAACTCAGGAGCACTGGAGCACTGAGTCATATCCCCAGCCCTATTTTGTATTTTATTTAGAGACAGGGTCTCACTGAGTTGCTAAGCACTTCACTTTTGCTGAGGCTAGTTTTGAACTTGAAATCCGTTCTCTTCTCTGCTGTTTTGCGCCCTAATTTTTTTTCTTTATTTTATTTTTTGGTGGTCTGTGGGTTGAACCCAGTGCCTCACATGTGCAAGGCAAGTGCTCTACCACTGAGCTAAAACCCCAGCCCCCGCTAATTTTTAAATAATTTTTTCTTGTTTGCAAGTTCGTTGGTCTTATATCTTTTCTGTACCACCTGTTCACACATCATTATCACTTGCATTCTCATTCTTTACAGATTACACTTTCTCATGAAGTTGTGGAGCTCCTATAGTGTGCTTATCTAATATTCATAGCGGTCATTTGTTCTGGTTCTGTTAGTAAGGGGCAGGGCCAGTATTTGAACTCAAGTTCTTTTGGTTTCAAAGCTTATCCTTCCACCACACCAATCAGTTGAATATGTGAATACCTAACTGCTACTGAATACAGAGTAGGCAGCTTTCTACATGGAAGAAATGACCTTTTAAGTGTACTTTAAAAAAAAATTACATCCACTATCCAGTGAGTCAGGCTCAGACATGACTGTCATATGGTTCAGTAAACCATAACACAGGGCTTCAGATACAAATCTGGAACATGGTAGATGCTCATTTAATATTAGTTGAAAAAAGTGAACAAAACTCTGCCTGGGGGTTTCAGGGAAGACTTTGTGAATGAAGGGAGATCAAATAATGCATGAGTCTGTCCAATGAAGAAGAAGTGTGGACCTAATTTCAGAGTCAAAGAGTAGGGTACTTAGATGACAGGCAGAGGGTGGTAAGGTCATGGAGGAGCAGCAAGAACTTTATCCTTCCCTTCTGTAGGCTGCCTTGTGTAGTTTCTGGAGCTTAAAAATCTATGAAATACTCTCTGGATAATGAAGCTTGATTTTATACCTACTTCTATAGCATCAGAGTCTTCCCATTATGAAAAAGAGCAAGGCTACGGGGGCTGAGTTGGAACATTTTGTCTTGGGGTTAGAGGGCTGGTGTTTGGGGTGATTTACATTTTAAGGATGCCAGTCTGATGAGTATTGTTTACTAAAAATATCTGCTCTGCTCAGTCAGGTATATGTTCCACCAATTGTAACATATTTTCAGTATCACCAGATAAAGATAATGATTTTCATGCACATTTTTGAGGGAAGAATAAAAAATAATGATTCTTTTGAATATTTTTTGAAGATTCTGCTCCCACCTTTGCTAAATTTTCTTTTGTCTTTTATTTATTTATTTATTTTAAATTTTTTTTAATATTTATTTTTCAGTTATCGGTGGACAAAACATCTTTATTCTATTTGTATGTGGTGCTGCTGATCGAATCCAGCGCCCTCGGGCATGCTAGGCAAGCATGCTACCACTTGAGCCACATCCCCAGCCCTATTTATTTATTTTTTATTTTTTTTTAGTTGTTGATAAAATTCTATTTTTATTTATATGGTGCAGAGAATTGAACCCAATGCCTCACACATGTTAGGCAAGTGTTCTACCCCTGAGCTATAACCCCAACCCTTGTCTTTTATTTTGACCAATTGTATAAATACACTTTTTTTTTCAAAAATTAAGGTAAATTTAAAAAGAAAAAATGTGTATATAGTTTCACCCATTATGCATACAGACTTTGAAAATTTTTTTTTGTTTCTTTTTAGGATTTATATTTTAATACCACCGTTCTGCCACTGAATCATTTTTCTTCAAGTGATTCAAATTTTTTTCTAATTTTATTTAATTAATATTCAAAAGAAACTGATTTTGCTGTGAAAAATTTGGAGTTGACAAATGTATTAAGAAGAAAATCAAGGCAGACATGATGGTGCACATCTGTACTCCCAGCTATCTGGGAGGCTGAGACAGGAGGATCTCAAGTTTGAGGCCAGTCCAGGCAAATTAGTTTAGACCCTGTCTCATAATAAAATTCAAAACAGAAAAGGGCTGGGGATGTAGCTCAGTGGGGGAGCATGCACAAAGCCCTGGGCTCAATTCCCATAAACACACACTCTCTCTCTCTCTCTCTCTCTCTCTCATACACGCACACACAGACACACACACTATTCTAAAGTCCAGAGATAGCTGTGCAATATTTATTGTACATATTTCCTGCCAGTTTTGTCTCCATGTGTTGATTGGTTAGTTCGACTTAGGGCATATGGCATTTTATCATCTTTGGTCTGTGACAATGTAACTTTTAAATTTTATTTATTTTTCCCCCTGTATTTTTTTTCCCTTGTTTTTAATTTTTTTTTAACTTAGAGGTTGCTGTCCTTTTACTTATTTTCAATGGTTTTGTGCATCTGGTATATAACCTTCTATTATCTTATGTACTTTGTCCAGTGTCTTTTTTAAAAATCTTATTTATTTATTTACTTATTTTGTAGATGGACACAATATCTTTTTATATTTATTTTTATGTGGTGCTGAGGATTGAACCTAGGGCCTCACATGTGCAAGGCGGGTGCCCTATTACTGAGCCCCAGCCCCAGCCCCCAGTGTCTTTTAAAAAATATTTTATTAGTTATTGATGGACCTTTATTTATTTATTTATATGTGGTGCTGAGAATTGAACCCAGTGTTTCACACATGCTAGGCAGGGACTCTACCACCTGAGCTATATCCCCAGTCCTATATTTGTGTTGTAGTTTGTGTTTTTGAAGTTTCATTCTTCCCTTCTCCTCAGTCCCAAACTATAATAGTCTCCTAATATTTTCTTTATAATTTTAGTTTTCACATTTATTGTGTCTTAATCCTGTGGAAGCTACTCATTTAAGATGCAAAATTGATGAAATACGGTAATTTCACTATTCAAGCTTTGATATATCAGTTTCTGAGAAGAGGATATTAAAATCTTCAGCCACAGTTATGTATCTGTATTTCTCCCTATGAGTTCTATGTATTTTCTGTCTGTATGATTAGATGCATCCATGTGTTGTATCTTTTGTTTCTATTGTTATCTTTTTAGGTTTTTTTGTTATCTATTGTTTCTTTTATGAATATGTAATAACTCTCTTAGCTTTTGAGATTAAAATTATTCTTTGACAGATGTTAAGATCACAACCCAGTTCATATTTGCCTGGTGTATTTTTTAATTTTTATTCTTTCTGTCTTTTTGTATTTTTAAGTATGTCTCTTCTTCTAGCTAATTTATTGTGTAATTTTATTCCCCACTGGAAATTAAATTCAAAACTTTGTTCATGGTAGGAAAGTGCTTCGCTGCTCAGTCTCATCCCTTTTTATTTTTTATTTTGAGGCAATGTCTCACTAAATTTCCAAGGTTAGGCTTGAACTTATGAACCGTCTGCTCAGTCTCCTCCGTAGCTAGAATTACAGGTGTGAGCCACAGTACCCTGCTTGAAATTTTTAAAAAGCCAATTAGGAGGTGCTAGGGCAATAGCTCAGTGGTAGAGTGCTTACCTTGCACATGTGAGGCCCTGGGTTCGATCCTCAGCACCACATACAAGTGAATAAATAGAATAAAGGTGTTAAAAAAAATCCTTCCTTTAAAAAAAAAAGCCAATTGGCAATATTGACATTTTTACATTTAATATACTATACATTAAGATTTAGTTCCACCATCTGTAGAGGCAGAAAGATGTGAAGCTTTTTCTCATACATTCTAAGGGTCACATCAGATATCCCTATAACAAAGAAGATATTAATAAGAGAAAAGCATAACATATTATTTTAATGAAAGATTTAGATGAGAGCTCCTGTCCCTACTCAGGCTGAGAAACACAAGCAGAGCCCAGCTGAGCGCGGGGGCAGGGCTGGGGCAAAACTGGTTCAGCACTTGAATAAGAGCAGGCTAAGAGCCAGGCTCAGGACAGGCTGAGAGTACAGGCAGGGCCCTGGCTGGGCCTGATGGGAGATGGGATAGGGTTAGGCTAAGAGCCCTCGTAGGGCGGGGGTGGGGGGGTGGGAGGGTGTTTGACATACAAGGAAGGGCCAGTTGAGAGCCTGGCAGTTCCCAGCTCAGAGCTGGAACAGTCAGTTATAGTGCCTGACAGTGATAGTATCAGGATAGAAAAGGGATTTGGGGGGCTTACATGACACGGGAACATTCAGAAATAAAGATTCAAAGATTCAGGGGAAACTATTTTTATACTTAGGTTCAATGAAGAATGGACAGTCACGTGAAAAAAATGTGGTTGGAAAAAAAGATATGACCTCATGGTAATAGATTGAGAAGGGAAACCCATCTTGGCTTCTGAGATATGGGACAGGCGCTTTCCTGTAATGAGGATCTTAATGACCTTCTGTCAGAGCAGGTCAGAGAAGCTCTTTATGGCCAGCTCTTACACAGAAAGGCAGGTGAAGTTATGGTGATATTTCTAGTTTCTATGACCCACCTTGGGGATGATGTGGTATTTTGGGTTTTATGACTAACTTTGGGGAAGAAAGAAGGGT